TAGCATAAAATAATTAAATATATGTAATATTTAATTAAAATACCATCAATTAACTATTTGAATTTATACTTGTACCCAAAAAAAATAGGGCATCTCACCAAATTTTTAAATTTTGTTTTTTTTTTTACTTTACAATTTTTAGAATAAATTAAATAGCATAAAACAATTAAAGATATGTAATATTTTAGTTAAAATAGTATCAATTAACTATTTAAATTAATTATTCAAGAAAATATTAATCATGTATTGTTCAATTGACCATTTGAATAAGTGTATGTATTTGGATTTACATGGGGAGATATTTTGTCTAGTTGTGTGCATGCTTGTGTTTGAAGGAACCAATCAAAAAACGAGGTACTAATTAATCAATCCCAATAAACCAAACCATGTGAAAATTTGTTGGTTAGATAAGTTAAAAACATATACTAAAACAAGAAACTCCTACCCTAAACTAGGGATTGTATTCATTAATTCCCTAATTAATCCCCACAAACTTTCTTGTTTGACCCATAATAACTAGTATATATGACAGCTGGCTTTTCGCAATCTCAATTATAAGGCTTCCTTCGGTTGCCACGATTAGATTAGCTGAAATAAAATTATTTATCGAATCTGGGATGTCCGATAAAAAAACATTTCTAAAAGGTAAGATAAACCATGTTAACATAATATGTACAGGTCGACACACGGGCAAGTTATTAGAGATACCAAACGTTGAAATAAAGTTCAATTATTTAATTAATCATGGCTAATCCCTATAACCAAACGAGACCTTAGTTTAATATAAAGTTTAACTTTTATAATATTTGCTATTTAAGGGTTTCAATTTTGTCATTTGTCACTCTTAATATTAGTGGAAAGAGAATTAATTAATTTTTTTTTAAATTTTCTTAATACGTACGGAACAAAATATCATACAAAATATAAATCGAGGATACATATAGAGATTCTTCAATATTGTTTGCAAGTACTTATTTGTCCTTCAAATTCTGTGGTTCTCAAGTAAACAAATCACTCAAAATTCACCACAATTGACAACTTTACCCTCACCCCATGAAAGCCTATAAAAACACCACCATTTCCATTTCATTTGCCACCATCAATCTATATTTCTCTCTAATTTCAATAAAATAAAAAATAGCAAAATAAATATTGACCAATGGCATCAAGCTCGGCGAATCGTGACTCGGGAAGAAAATGGACCGCGAAGGAGAACAAAGACTTCGAGGAGGCATTGGCCGAATTCGACAAAGACACACCCGAGCGGTGGTCAAACGTTGCTCGAGCAGTCGGTACTCGAACGGTGGAGGAAGTTAAGAAACACTACGAAGTTCTCCTCGAAGATCTTAATAAAATCGAGAGTGGTAAGGTACCCTTGCCCAATTACAAGACCACTTGTGGAAGTTCTTAAATTCTCGTGGTCGTAACACTAAAGGTTAGTACATACCAAATTTTGTCGGAATTTTTTTTTTTTCGGCTGCCTTTTCAATTTAGCTAGTAATAAAAGTTACATTTTTTTTTAATAATTTTGGAATATAAAGATTTTATTTTGCACTAAGGACCACTCAAATGGAATTAGTGGTTTGGTTATATGTCACGACCCACATTCTGTTTCAAGTCATCTTCGACCAATATATAATATAAGTCTAAATTCATGAAAGGTTTTTTTTTTTTTTTTTTTTTAATAAAATTTAAATATATAAATTATCCTAAATAAGAAAATAAAAAGAATTTCAGGCCTAACTCTTGCAATTAGATATTCAATTTACATTATTTTGGCATGTCCTCTAAATTATAAATTAAATACCAGAAAAAGCCTCTCCCAATTGGGCCTTAAAGATATTTATTTAATTATATATATTTATTCTTTTCTTTTTTGGTGGGGGGTGGGGTTATATTTTTTGCACTTAATTTTCACGTGCACTTTAATTTGTAATTTGTTTTAATTAAAACTAAAATATTTTCGCCTAAAACCATGCATATATTCAGGCATGCATCTACCATTATTTAATTTTATTTCTCTGGCTATTTTTTGAATATATTTTATTTCCCATGCAGGATGAAAACCAGAAGCTGCGCTGATTAATTAAGTACTATAAAAATAATTAATTATGAATTTTTAGTCATAAGATAAATAGTTATTAAATTATGTGTTTGAGAATCACATGTATAAGTAGTGGTTCTTAATCAAATTATATTGGCCAGGTTGCATTAGTATATTATATATCTATGTTGGAAGTTTTAAATTTATAATCTGCATTTTTATTTATGTTGGTTTGAATCTGGAAAAAACCAAATATTAATAAGAATTGTAAAAAATATCTCACTCGTGTGCATGCATGCCGGGAACACTAGTATATATATATATATATACACATAGTTATGTGTTATTATGTGTAAATTAGTGGTGCAAAATCACCCATGTATATATTCATCGGATGCAGCATCTACAAAACCCGAAAACCTAATTAAATTACGTGGAACTCAATGATTTAAGCCAAAAAATATGGATGGACGAATTACATGTGTATCATCGGAGAATGTTAGGTATTGTTTGCTCAACGACCTAACAAGGATTTATTCTATAATACAGCTAGTTGAAATACAACGGGTTGATCTTTACCATTAATATATATATACACAAACACATACACACCCACATTGGTGGGTGTAGTTCAACGGTAAATATCCACTCAATGTAAATAACTCGGGAAAGAACATGCACGTGAACGTACGTTTATGGGGACTAACCTAAATATTAAAAATAAATAAAAATAAAATCATTAAATACAATAAAATATTTTACTTTCATTAAATACCTTTCTTTCCAACAAAACTAAAAAGAAAAAACAAAAGAAGGTAATATATTAGTTATTGGGCCATGTGAAGTTGTTCAAGTTAAAGTTAGCCCAATGGGCTTACTAAGTCCTCAATATTTCGGATTTTTTTTTTGAGAATTGGGGTGATTTTGTAATTAATTACAAAAATACAATAAAGCGTCATTTAAAATGACGCGCTTTGCCGACCGTTGGATTGAGCTTCGATTGACGGCTAGATCTCCTATTTTGTCCTCTTAATCGGACGTCCAGGGATTGATCAGAAGATCTGACGGTCGCTAAAACGCGTCATTTTGAATGACGCGCTTTGACCTGTCAGATGGTTAAACGCGTCGTTTCAAACTGTGCGTTTTAGCGGCCGTCCGATTCTTCTCGATCTAACGGTCGTGATTTCAGCCGAATATATATATATATATATATATATATATATATATATATATATATATATATATATATATCCCTTAAACAATTACAATTCTCATATTTGCTGCCTTGCTCCCTTCTTCCCAACACCCGTAAGTTTTCTTTCTCTCCCTTTTTTATTTGTTAATTATTATTTATTATTGTTTAATTTATATTTTAACTAATGTAGGTAATTTATTGTTGAATTTATATTGGAACTAACGTAGGTAATTTAATTAATTTCAGCAGGGTACTTATTGAGGTAATTTTTTTCACTCTTTCAATTATTATTATAGTTAAATAGAATTTTAATTATTAATATAATTTTGTTAAATTTTTATTAATGGTGGATTAATGAAATTTTGATCTAGTAAATTATCAATTAATTTGGAGATAAATTATTTCTTGTATTGTTAAAATATATATAATTTATTATGAAATTCAAATTTTTATTGTTTTTTTCGTTGTTATTTTTAGGTTAAACTTTAACTTAGGGTGGATTTAAGAAGAAATGTTTGATTGTGTTTAAATAATTTCTGAAATTTAAATTTTTTGTAATGGTTTAAATATGATACGAGTAGAATAATTAGTAGGATAAATTAATTAATTATTAGTGAGTTAGTGGATAAATTGGTAGAATTAGTCATGACATTAGAATAGGTATTATCCTCAACAAGGCTACCAACATTGGAACTTATGTTCAAATCTTAGTTTATGAACTATTATGTGGTTTTGTTCGTTTATGGTCTCCTTTTCAACCAGAGTTTTTGTAGAATTTAAGAATTTTCGAACCGTAGACAAGTTTGTTTACTTCTTCTATATTTTATAATTTTAAGGAGACGAGTTTTGTTGTGTTTTTATTTGTTCAAATTGTTGATGTTATTGGTGCTAGTAATCACTGTAAATGGTGTGTGCCATTTTCTTAGTACCATTAATTTTGACCATAAATCGTATTTTTTACCATAATTAGGATTTAGATTTCAAATTCATGATTTCAAACCGTTCGAATTTATGGATGTTTGGTCAAAATTCAAAATCAATGACTTCAAAATTCTTATTTTTTTTTCTTTTCAATTTATGAAAATGGTAAAATTACACTTTAGCCCCTCAAGTTTACATCAGTTTCACTTTTGATCCCATGTTTTAATATTTTATCATATTTTTATCATTTTTTTTAAATAATGTCTGAAATTTAAATTTTGGTGTGTTTAGATTGTTATAATTAGGTGAAATGTAATTTGTGGTTGATTGAGAAGGGATTTACACTGCTATCAAATAATAATTATTTGGAGGTATTTATTTGTTATATTGGACAAATATTATTATTTTTAATTGCTGAAATTTTAATTTTGTTTTTTATTGTTATAACTAGGTGGAAGCTTAATTTGTGGTGTTTTGAGAAGGGATTTTTGTAGCTAGCAAATAATAATAATTTGAAGGTAATTATTTGTTATATTGTACAAATGTAGTACAACTTGGAGCTGTGTTTTTTTTCCCCATTTTTAAATAATTGCTGAAATTTTTATTTTGATGGTCTTTTTATTATTATAAATAGGTGGAAGTTTAACTTGTGGTGGATTGAGTAGTGATTGTGGGTGCTAGCAAATCTACAATTATCTTTGCAGTAAATTAAATATTTTATTGGTTAATTTAAGTCTTACTTGAATGATAAGTTTGCTAATTTATACAAATTGTTTGTTTTTTAACTGGTTAGTGTTATATGAATGTGTCGAAAAATTACGAGTTACACAATGTGTTTAGGATTTATAATATACAAATTAATAGTTTTGGAACTATCAAATTATAAAAAGAATTAGAAAATATTAAATATTAATTGTTTGTTTTAACTGATTTATAATATAACATAAGTGTTTGTAGCTATAAAAAGAAATAGAAAATATTAAATATTTCGAAATAAAAATAATAATCTCAAAATATCAAAATATAGGGTTTCAATGGCGACTCCGGGTAGGAATACTGTCAAAGTTTTCGTGTACATAGGAGGCCAAATTGTTTATGATGGATTGTCAGTGAATTATGATCAATCTCATCATACAGTCGTACGAGTGAAACACGATATATCTTTCTCAGACTTCTTGGCGAAAATATACTCACGTTGCCGAATAGATAGAAATGAATTTGTGTTATCGGTGTCGGGCAAAATATCACGATGGTATCAAAATCAGTGGAGCGAGATAGTTTCTCGGTTAACAAGTAATGATGATTTAGAAATCTATTTGCACCCGGATGAAGGAAACGATTCCATAGATGTTTATGTTGAGTCTCAGCCTTTATACAATCCTTTGATGCCTTCACAATTTAGTACATCAGAGCCTCTCTACTCCCCTTCGAGACCTTCACAATTCAGTACATCAGAACCTCTCTACTCCCCTTCGAGACCTTCACAGTTCACTACATCAGAACCTCTCTACTCGCCTTCGAGACCTTCACAACATTTTGATTTGAATGAAACGTACAATTCATTTATGCAAACAAGTCCTGAGTTAGTTGCGGTTACACAAGGGTTTTCTAATATGGGCTTTGAAGCGGGGCCATCGAGGCATTCTTATCAAAATCTTGGGGTACGTATTGGGGAATCAAGTGGCATGAGAAATGCTCATGAAAATTTTGATCTGCCTAATGAAACTCGTCATTGTGATAATAATGATGACGATGATCCTTTCGGAGACGCACATGGGCCAAATGTTCGAAGCGACTCTGAACCCTCCGACCATGGAGACGATGGTGATAGTGGTGAAGAGAACAATGATGAGAATATCGAAGTCGTTGATGACGTTGTGCAAACAATATCGCAGACAGAAATTCCATCAACTCCCCATGTTCATGTCAACAATCCATCATTTGCAGAACCTCCTACTCAGTTTTATGATCCACCTTCGTTCTACTCTCTGTCATTTCCTGAAATCCCAGCCGATTCCATTGATGTTCCGTCGGGTATGTGGTCAAAATTTTATGATAGCATCAAAGGTACTCTCGAAAAGGGGATGATTTTTGATAGTAAAGCAAGGGTCATTTCAGCCGTTAGAGACCACTCCATTCGATTTGCCAGAAGAGAGTTTAAAGTTATCAAAAGTACAAAAAGAACTTGGAAAGTTATCTGCAAACACGACACTGAAGCAAGACCTTGCAGATGGAGGCTAAGAGCATCAAGAATTGGGGATATTAACAATTTAGAATTGGGATCTACGATGGCGATCATAGTTGCGGTGTGCAAGGGATGACAAACAATCATGGGAACTTGAACATCAATTCTTGCGCCGCAATTCTATTGAAAAGTGTTCGTGAAAGTCTAGTGTGTGAGATTTCAAAGGCAAGAGAGATTGTGACCGCGCAAATAGGATATGAGATATCCTACATGAAGGCATGGTACACCTTGAAGCGATGCAGAGAAAATGTATATGGAACATGGGAGAGTTCGGTCCAGAAGTTGCCAAAATTTATGAAAGCACTGCAACAAAGGAATCCAGGCACAGCTGTTGAGTGGGAACATCACGCGACAAATCATCCATCGAAATACATAATCATATACGTCTTCTGGGCCTTCAAGCCGTGTATTGATGGTTTCAAATATTGTCGTCGGATGATCAGCGTCGATGAAACTCATTTGTACACTAAGTACAAACATAAGACGTTGCTTGCTGTGTGTTTGGATGCGAATCAACAAGTTTTACCACTTGCGTATGCAATTGTTGATGAAGAGACCGCAAGTGCATGGAAGTGGTTTTTCAAATGCATTGACAAACATTTACTTTCGGGCATATCAGATGGTATTTGTATAATTTCGGATCGAGGTTCTGGAATTTTAAGTGCCATCGATTCAATGCCCGAGTTTACGCCCCCTCGCATCACCATCGATTTTGTTTGAGGCACGTTTGTTCAAATGTCAACGCCAAGTTTAAGAGCATTGTGGTGAAATATTTTTGTTACGCTGCTGGAAAACAATCTCAGGTTTGGAAGCTGAACTGGTATTTTGACAAGATTGGGGAGGAAAATTCCAATGCACACAGATACTTGATGAACATGGATCGAGAAAAGTGGACTTTAGCACATGATGGAGGGTCTCGACGCGGTCAGTTGACGACCAACTTGTCCGAGTCCATTAATGGTGCTTTGAAAGGTGCTCGTAAACTGCCTGTCACAACTATTGTGGATTTTACATTTCATCGAGTGGTTAAGCACTTTATTAATCGAGTAGCGAAAGGTAATAAGTGGGAGCAATCGGGACAACGATGGGCCGAATTTCCATTGAATAAGTTCAAATTTGGGGAGGAACATTCGACGACCCATTACATGAGAAGGGTCAACACTCGCAACTACGCTGGTGAGGTATTCACCAGGGCAAAAGTACCTCAAGGAGGTGGAGGAAAAACACATTGTGTCGATCTTAGGGCCAAATAATGCTCATGTAATAAGTGGACCTTGTTTGGGATTCATTGCTCTCATGTGCAACATGTGTGTCGGGATTTCCGTTTGGGTGCCGAAACTTTGGTTGCCGAGTACTACAGTGTTAGAAACCATAAGAACACATATAGTGGCGTGTTTCACCCTTTAATTTGCTGCCTGAAATGTGCTGGGAGGATGCATATTTTGAGCTATTTCACGATGTTACCCGGAAAGCTACACGACGGGGTACGCTAGAAAGTACTCGTATTCGTAACGAAATGGACCGACCACAAGCGCGTGCTAGAAGAAAATCTCGGGCAACACAAGAATCACACTAGTTATTATATTTTATGTGTTATGTTATGTTATGTTGAGTATGATATGTTGTGTTTGTAATATTATGTTATGTTATGAAATGTATGTTATATATATGTAATGTTAGTTATGATATGAATAATAATAATAGTAGTAATAATAATAATAATAATAATAATAATAATAATAATAATAATAATAATAATAATAATAATAATAATAAGGGGTAATATGCTAGAGGTTCCTAGTTGGAAACATTATTAGATATGAAATACAACATTGATATTTTTTTATGAACTAAATCCTTTTTTAAAAATAAATATGAGTCACATCCTCAATTTTTTCTGTTATCCCTAATTTACCCTTAACCTAAATCCATAAATTCTAAATTCTAAAGTCACGTTTCTCTTAGATTTATTTTTCTTTTTTCTTCCGTCTCTCAATCTCTCGCTCTCTCCGTCTCTCGCTCTCTCCGTCTCTCAATCTCTCTCTGTCTCGTCTATTTCTCTCACTCTCTCTCTCTCAATCTTTATCTCTCTATTTTTGAATATCGCCACCTCTCCAATCCACTATTGAGGGGCGGTGGTTATGGCGGTGGAGACGGCGGCAATAAGCGGATGGTTGTAGAGGCAATGAGACGGCGGCTATATATGGTGGTTTAAGGCCAGATCTATGGTGGAAGGCGCAACGACGATGTTGGGCATGGATGATGGCGTGATAGCGGCGCTCGGTGATGGTGGTGGTGGTGGATGGTGGTGGATGGAGGAGCGGATCTAGGGTTTGGTGGAGAAATTTTAAAAAAAATCGATTTGGATGTCTATGAGTGTCTATGAGTCTGGCGGCTAGGGTTTGTAGCAGGAGTTAGGGTTTCAAGATGTCTTAGGGTTTCAAGATGTCTATGGGTGACTACGGTTACTATGGTTTCCTATGGGTTTCTGAAGATGTCTACGACCGAAAAAATTAAAAAAAGTTTATAATTTTCACTTTATGTAAAATAGAAGGGGAAAAAATAGATTTTTATATAATGATAAAATACGGAAAAAAGAAAACGTTTTCCACGTAAAAATTAAAAACAAAATGCTAATAAATGCACACTTAAAAATGTTAAATAATATCATAGTTCATCATGGTATATTTACAATTTGGTGTAATTTCGAATTTGTGAGTGGAGGGCATTTTTGGAATGAATTTAATAAAGGATGTAAAGCAAATTTTAGTTAGACTTGTCATTTAGTTTTAATAAGGTTTGTCGTCAGGGACTTATATCTTAAGACCCCTAATAATAATAATAATAATAATAATAATAATAATAATAATAATAATAATAATAATAATAATAATAATAATAATAATAATAATAATAATAATAATAATAATAATAATAATCATAATAATAATCATAATAATCATAATAATAATCATAATCATAATCATAATCATAATCATAATCATAATCATAATCATAATCATAATAATAATAATAATAATAATAATAATAATAATAATAATAATAATAATAATAATAATAATAATAATAATAATAATAATAATAATAATAATAATAATCTTATATATAAAAGAAAGAAACGCTGGGGCACCCCTAAAAAACCCTATGTCATATTTGTAATTTTTTTTTCATTATTATCAAATTTTTTATCTC